GAGTTGATCTAGAGCCAAGCAAGGAAGATGCCGGATTTTGCAAATTATTTTCCGAGAATCTTTCCGGACCGGCTCTGTTATGGTTCACTCAGTTAGAACCAGAAACTATTGATAGTTTTAAGGAATTGTCCTCAGCATTCCTAAAACAATATTCTATGTTCATGGAAAAAGCAACTTCTGATGCGGATCTTTGGAATTTAACCCAAGATCAGAATGAACCACTTCGCAAATATATCGCTAAATTCAAAGAAGTGATAGCCAAAATTCCTGGGGTATCGCACGCAGCTGCCCTTTCTGCTTTAAGGAACAGACTCTGGCATGAATCCTGATTTCGGGAAGAAATCATCGTCAATCGTCCGAGTACCATCCAAGATGCTTTATTCAGAGCTACTAATTAGATGGAGGCAGAAGAAGAAAAGCTTAGCCTCGCTAAAAAGCATCAGCAAGCTAAATTAGTCGTTGCAAATCCAACTAAAAGGTTCGAACCAAAAGACCAAAAACGGTTCGGAGTTAATCCTGCAACTAATGGTGTAGGAAAACCCTCTCCAAGCAGAGGAAGATACAATTCTCCTAATACTTGGGTTAGAGATGAAAGTGCCTATTGTGATATTCATAAAGTAAACGGGCACTCCACCAAAGATTGCAGCGTACTAAAAAAGCACCTCACCGAACTGTGGGCAGCTGAAGAGCTCGTTAATTTCAATATCGAGGAATTTGTGGAATCTTACCACAAAGAAAAAGAAGATTCCGAAGTTTCTAATCCTCCGGAAAAGAAACATAAACCCAATGGGCCTGGAACTCCGAACACTCCTAAGAAAAGGATCGATGTTATAATGGGAGGGTCCAAATTATGCCGAGATTCGATCAGATCAATCAAAAGGCATAAGAAATCAGCAGCAATTCAAACCGCTGTGGGTTTCCAATCAAATGAACAAATACCTTCTATCTCCTTTGATAATTCGGACACTCAAGGAATAACAGGACCTCACGATGATGCTCTCGTAATAACTTTAGATGTTGCAAACTTCGAAGTGACGAGGTGTCTAATTGATACTGGAAGCTCGGTAGATCTCATATTTCTAAGCACTTTGCAAAGAATGGGAATCAATAAAGCCGACATTATCGGTCCACCAGCGCCGTTAGTAGCTTTCACGAGTGACACATCTATGTCCTTGGGAAACATAAAACTACCAGTGCTCGCCGCTGGGGTTCCAAAAATTGAGAATTCATTGTCTTCGACCATCCGGCCGCTCACAACATAATTCTCGGAACTCCGTGGATATACCAAATGAAGGCTATACCTTCATCTTATCACCAGTGTGTGAAATTTCCGACTCCTGGTGGAATTAGAACCATTCGAGGAGATCATGAAACATCGCGATCTTGCTATCTCATGGGACATCGTTTAAAGCTCAAATAGCAATTAATGATAAATGCTAAGCAAGAAAGCGCCTCGCGTTACCCAAGTGGTCTCAGTTCGAATGAGGTTACCACAGAAATTGAAATTGATTCCGAATTTCTAGACCGAAAAGTAAAAATCGGTACTACTTTAGATTCAGAAATCAAAGATCAATTGGTAACATTTCTAAAAGAAATAAACATACTTTTGCCTGGTAGGCGAAAGATATGCATGGAATCGACAAAAGTATCATTACCCTTGATTTAAACGTCGATCCCAGTTTTAAACCAATAAAGCAAAAGAGAAGAAAACTGGGTCCTAACCGAGCTCAAGCGGTCAATGACGAAGTTGATGATAAACTTTTGAAAATCGGTTCGATTAGAGAAGTAAAATACCCGGACTGGTTAGCTAACCCCGTGGTAGTCAAAAAGAAAAATGGAAAGTGGAGAGTATGTGTCGATTTCACTGACATTAACAAAGCATGTCCAAAAGACAATTTTCCTCTCTCTCATATCGATCGGCTCGTAGAATCAACAGCCGGAGACGAACTCTTGACATTCATGGATGCATTTTCCGGATATAATCAAATCATGATGAATCCCGAAGATGAAGAGAAAACATCCTTCATAATAGATAGAGGAATCTACTGTTATAAAGAATGCCGGGGCAACATATCAGCGTTTAGTTAACTAAATGTTTGCAAAACATTTGGGCAAAACGATGGAAGTTTATATCGATGATATGCTCGTAAAATCTCTTAAGAAATCCGAGCACATCACACATCTTGAGCAATGTTTCAAAATCCTGAATGAATTCGGAATGAAATTAAATCCAGCTAAATGTTCTTTTGGTGTACCTTCTGGAGAATTCCTAGGCTACATAGTTACAGAAAGAGGAATAGAAGCCAATCCTAATCAGATTAACGCTTTCCTCACGATGCCTTCACCAAAAAACATTAAAGAGGTCCAGCGGTTGACGGGCAGAATTGCTGCGTTGAATCGTTTCATTTCGAAATCTACTGATAAATGTCTCCCCTTTTACCAGATTTTAAAAGGGAACAAAAAGTTTCGCTGGGATGATCAATGCGAAGCAGCTTTCGATCAACTCAAAACTTACTTGACAACACCGCCGGTTCTCTCCAAACCTGAGTCAGATGAGAAACTTTATCTTTACATCTCGGTTTCTAATCATTCTGTAAGTAGGGTTTTAGTTCGAGAGGATCGAGGTGATCAGAAGCCGATTTTCTACATAAGTAAATATCTTACTAGTCCGGAAACAAGATATACCATGATGGAAAAATTAGCTTTAGCGGTAGTCATATTTGCTAGAAAACTCAGACCTTATTCCAATCTCATCCGATAGAAGTTTTAACTTCTCACCCGCTTCGCTCAATTCTTCATGGACCAAGTCAGTCCGGTAGATTGGCGAAATGGGCAATCGAGCTAAGTGAGTACGATATAGAGTACAAAAGTCGAACTAGCGCAAAAGCACAAGTTCTGGCTGATTTTCTTATCGAACTACCACTAGATGATGGAATCCTTATTGAAACAGACTCTACCTGGAAATTACATGTAGATGGTTCTTCTTCTAAACAAGGATCCGGAATCGGTATTAGGCTCGAAACTCCAACAAAGGAAATAATCGAACAGTCTTTTCGATTAATGTTTCCGGCTTCGAACAATGAGGCAGAATACGAAGCTCTCTTAGCAGGACTTCGGCTTGCTCTCGCAATTGGAGCAGAAAAAATAATAGTTTATTGTGATTCTCAGATAAGGCCCCTCGAATGGAAGCCTATCTTTCGACTGTCAAAAAATTAGCCAGAAAATTCAAAGAATTCGAGTTAGTTCGAATACCTCGAGGAGAAAACACTTCGGTAGACGCTTTAGCTACCCTAGCTTCTACCTCAGATCCCGAGCTCAAACGAGTTATCCCAGTTGAATGTATTTCTTCGCGAAGTATTTCGGTTGAAGAAACAGAAAACAATAACATTTTGGAGGCCGAGCATATCGAAATTCCAAAATCAAGTTCCAAAAATGAAAATAATTCATTTGTGGTCACCAGATCACGAGTAAAATCTCAAAATGATGAACTTACTTCACCATTGGAACTTCCTAAAAGGAAGCCAAGAAAAAAATTAAAGGATCAAGAGGTTCCCGCTGAAGAACCGTCTCGAACTGAACAGACACCTTCAGGTGATGAAGAGGTTCGGGAAACAATCGAAGATCCTGATATTCCTTCCGAACCCGAACCAAGGAAGTTTGTACTCAAGGATAATACATCCGCTAATGATTGGGGGGGGCTGACTGGAGGGTACCCATCAAAAATTTCATTATTAATGGAGAACTACCATCGAACAAATGGCAAGCTCGCAAATTAAAAATCATCAGCGCTAAGTATTGTATAACTAAAGAGTCATTGTACAAGCGAGGCGTCAGCGATCTTTACCTTTTATGTATTTTCGGACCCAAAGTTGAAATAGTGATAAGCGAGGTCCACGAAGGGCTTTGTGGTAGTCATTCTTCGGGACGAGTACTGGATTTCAAAATCAAACGGTTAGGATATTTCTGGCCAACTATGATTTCTGACTGCATCGATTACGCCAAACGGTGTAAAAAGTGTCAGATGCACGCTCCTCTTATTCACCAGCCATCTGAAATTCTGTCATCTATATCCGCTCCATATCCTTTCATGAGGTGGTCAATGGATATAGTTGGTCCGATGCATCGCTCAACGTGAGACATCCAATACCTATTAGTTCTGACGGACTATTTTTCCAAATGGATCGAAGCAGAAGCCTACGTAAGTATACAAGATTCTGTGGTAAAAACATTCTTGTGGAAACACATTATTTGTCGCCATGGAATTCCTTACGAAATAGTAACGGACAACGGTCCTCAATTCATTTCAAATGAATTTGAAGATTTTTGTTCCTCTTGGGGAATAAAACATAGCTATTCAACGCAGTGATATCCTCAAGGAAATGGGCAAGCGGAAGCTTCCAATAAAACAATTCTCAGCAATCTCAAAAAGCGTTTGAATGCTCGGAAAGGTGGTTGGTATGACGAGCTGCAACCTGTCACTACAAGAAAACATGTAATTAGCGACCACACATTAAGTAGCGTAGTAGTCGCTAAACCTATTAAGACGACAGTTTGGCGACTAAAACACGTAGTCGGTAAACCTTGCGTCGCTAAATTTATGAGTCGCCAAACAGTCGCCATTTAGCGACTGAATAACTACTAACTTATGTGCCGTTATTTAGTCGCCTAACAGTCGCCAAATTAGCGACTGTTTGGAGACATTATTGCCACTACATAGTGACTCTTTGGCGACTATTTGGTGACTGATATAGCGACTGTTTTGCCACCACATGGCGTCTGTTTAGTTTAAGTATTAGTGACTGAAATGCAACTATTTGACGACTGATTACAGGTTTAATTATCAATTTTACATTCTAATTATGGAATCCTAAATTAAAAAAACTATATTTAACAAACAAAGAACCTTGATTCAAACACACAACATAATTCAAACATGTTCACAACATAATATTCAAGCTACATTATATCAAGTTTTTAAATTTAGATAAGAAAAGCAACTAAAGGAAGGGGAGATGAGATGTTCACTCCTCGGCTTGATCTTGTGAAGCATTAGCAGTCTGGAACTCTTCTGTTTGATCTTCTGAAGCAGACTCGAGGAAGGCGAGAAACTTGGGGTCAGTTTCGGTCAAGTACTTCTTCACCATCCTCAAGTGTTTGATCTCTGCTTGTTGCTCATTAGCAACACGCTTGATCTCTGCTTGCTCAGCTTTCACCCGCAATGCCTCTGCCTCCCGATGTGCTTGGAGAGTCGCTTGTTCTTCTATCTTGCGGTTGGCTTCCTCAAGCTGTGACTGCAAGGAAGTGAAAGCAGAATTGCTTCCTGGGTACTTCCTCTTCCCATTGATGTACCTCCCTAAGCTTCCCATTCCGAAGTATACCCCTCTCTCGTTTGTGACAGTTGACTGCAAAAAAAAGACAAGAGGATTAGTTCTTAAAAGATGAAGTAAGTGATAATAATAATAAAAAAAAAGAGGATCAACCACATTACCAGAAGGAAGATCTCATCATCCTCCTCTTGAGATAGTTCTGATCGACGGGATGTACCATCAGACCCTTCATCATTCACAAGGGCAGCCAACTTAGCTTCCTTGTTCTTCAAATATGCCTCATGAATTTCCTGCGCCTTCCTATCAACAAAACTCCCATCTTTTTTGGTATGAGTCCTAATGAATATCTCACCAATAGTAGGTGGTCTTCCCAGCTCAATTTCCTGAAATGTTGTTCACAAAAAAATTCAAATTCTTAAGGAAAACCATTATGTAAATAAACAAGAGTGCTTGATGTAACTTACCATCTCTTGCTCGATTTGTAAGAAAGACTTTGGCCCCGATACATGCTTGTGAGGACCAAGACCATTACGGTCAGACATTCGAGCTGCTGATGTGGTTGAACTCTTGGCAAGGGCTTCTTCTGTGTCCCAATACTCACACATTTCCTTCCACAATGTCTTCTCAATCCATGGCGGTCTCTCAGTGGCTCGTTTTGAGCAAGCCTTAGAAACCATGTCCTTCATACGCAGCTGACATATTTTGTAGAATTTCTCTTCAATTACACCGGTCAGTGATGGATGCCATGTGTGTGTTTTCTACAAAACAAGAGGAGAGTTTGATGTTAGCGATCAAACAACCAAACCAAACCAAATGGATACAAACAATAGAAGTTAATTTACCGCGAATTCGAGGAAGTATTTGTGTCTTCTTTCAGTAGGTACACAGCTCCAATTGTAATATGGCCCATTAAACTTGTTTGTGAATACCTTTGTGATCTTCCGGGTCAGCTTACAATTGTCATGACCAAACCTACAATTACATAAACCAATTAGCAAGCTTACCATATACACACATAATCCTAATCTACTCAGCTTACCATACACACACATATTACTCAATATTAACCCTAAACCTAATATACTCAGCTTACCATATACACACCTAATCTACTTAGCAGATACACACACACATTACTCAATATTAACCCTAAACCTAATCTACTCAGCTTACCAATAGGTTTCAGGCTCAAATGTGGGAGAGATGACCGTTGTATACTTCTCACGTCCTGGCCAGAGAAGCAACTCATGGAGAGTAGCAAGCGAATCTTCAGGGAGAGTTGATTCCCTTTCATAATCAGCCTTAAACTCAGCTTCCTCATCTTCATCTTCTTCCGCATGTGAGTTTTGAGCTTGAGAGCTGTGATGTGATACAGAGGCTCGAGGTGGAGGATTTGACGCCTGCCGAGGTGGAGGATTGGAGGCTTCCCGTTGAACCAGCGCTGGAGACTGATTGGAGGCTTCCCGTTGAACCGGCGCTGGAGACTGATTGTAGGCTTCCCGTTGAGGGGTATGTGGGACTTACTATATGGGCATGCGGCAAGTATCCCTGTTGTGCCCATTAGCCTTGCATCTTGAGCAAACATTCTGTCCTCGCAACCCTTTCTTCTGCACAATATAGATGGATATAAAAGTATATACCGTGCTATAGATAGATGCATCGGATACATTTATTTAGAGGTGTTTCTTACCTGAAACTCTCCGCGTGATAAGAAGCATTTTTTCTTTGGCCTCCCTGGTGCGCGCTTCGTGTGGGGTGGCAGCAAGTTCATTGAAGCAATATCCTCTGAGAGTCCGTAAAGACAAGAGATCGCCATAACAGGATTGATGGAATCCTTGTCAGCCATCACCCAATAACATGATGTATAGTGTACATCAACCAGAGAATGCATCAGAACCTGATCAACGATAGCAGCATCAATGGCATGGGGACAAGGGATTTTGTGCAAATTGAATTCCTTGCATGTACATTATTTCACAGCTTGCTGGACATGGTATCCGCCCCCTGGCCCTCCGACAATATCATATTCCTCCTTGTTAACCTTCCTCACAGCGAATCCCCCGGATTTTTCAAAGTTCTCTTGTAAGATTTTTCTTACCCTTGGTGTCAGCATAGTATGCTCCTGTTTTGCAGTCTCCCGACGTATGGCGAACCAAGACATGAGAGTCTTACGCACAAATTCAATGATGTAGACAATTAGAAACTCTCGAGCTTATTTGAGAACAACATTGAGAGACTCAGCGAAATTACTTGTCATCACATTATAGCGTTCTCCAACGAAGTAGGATCTTGCCCAGTGGCCAAACCCGATTGACTTGAGATATGCTCCAAATTCAGGGCATACCCGGCAAATCTCCGCAAAGACTAGGTGGAAGTGCTCGATACGGTATGCCCGTGCGGCCTTCGACACCAAGAAAGAAAGAGTCTTGCCTTGAAACTGCTTGAGATACTAAGTTGCAAGTGGACTACGTATGATGTGTGCTGCATTTGGGAAAACCTAGGAGATAAATAAACGATAATAGCCGTGTTAGCGTGGTATACAATGTTATAGCTTGCTATTTAAACATATACCGGGTTATACACATAAATATCTTATAGCTTCCAGAGAGACGAGTAGATGGAAGAATGCCTGTCTGAGACAAAAGTAACAGTTAGATCATTGGGTAATATTTGCCTTAATCTTGTCAGGAACCACTCCCAATCCCTATCGTTTTCACTGTCGACGATTCCAAAACCCACCAGGAAAATTTGAAAGTTTCCATCTTGGGCGCTCGCTGTGATCACGCAACCATCGTAATTTCCTCTCAGATGCGCACCGTCTATGACTATTACCTGGTAAGACACATTTTTTGCGGTATCAAGTAAAGATAAAACTGCAGATATACGACAATACGACGTGACATAAATAAACATGGCAAGGTATATGTATCTTTGATTATTACCTTGCGCATGACCTTGAGGCAGCTAGGGCGAAGAAGAGGTACTTAAATCTTTGGTTTCCCAACTCGTCCACAGTTATTTCCAGTTCGGTGAATGACACAGGGTTGGCAGCCTTAAGTGCATGCAAGTAAGCTAGTAGAAGAGAGTAGATATTGCCCATTGAACGTCTTGCTCCGTCCATAGCAAACCCCCTAGCTCTCTAAGCTTTCCAATATGAGATTGGGACGTTGTGGTCATTTAAACACATCATTTGAACCTCCCCGTGCCTTGGTCCGCTCACAGCTCCCATGTATTGTGGCCTCATGAACTCACCTACAACACTAGCTGAAGCTTGTTTGTAGTAGTTACTGCGGGCTTCAACGCTGCAAGTGTGTTCCAGACAAGCACTACGGACTTGGTAGTTGTCCGAGTCTTCAAGTCGGACGACATACACCCGCCAGGGGCAACTGTCGGCTACACAGTTGAGGAGGACCACTTTCTTGACTGAGCGGCTGTGACGAAAATGTAACTTCCTTTAAAGTGCATGGATGGCCATTTTGAACTTGAAGTCCTCCTTGCTTTTATATACCCGACCCACAAATATGTCATCTCCCTCATACGTTGCATCGTCTATAGCTTGGTTGACCACTGTGTTTCCTAGTAAGACACATGTGTTTATTTGGTATCAAGTTCAGATAAAAATGTAGATATAACATCATATGACGTGACATATCGAGGAGTTATAACTACATATAGCAAGATAGATGTGTATAAAAATATATAAATGACGATAGCAAGATATACGTATATATAACCAAATATATATTACGATAGCAGGATATTACGATACTAAAATAGCAGGACATACATATATATAACCAAGTCATTACCTCTAACTATGTTATTGTCCAGAACCGAAGCTGTGTCCCTGCCAAATACCCTCATGGATAAGTCCATGTCAAAGAAAGTGTTCTCATCGTTGGCGTATGTAGGAACTGTAGAGCTGGAACCAACCTCTAGGTTGGATATTTTCTTACTCATCAAACCATCAAGCCTCTCGTTCCATGGATCGGGTCTACTGCTATCCCTAGAGTCAACATTAGAGTCTGAAGATGCAAGGTCAACAATGACGTAATCTTCGTGTATCATTGTGGCTGGGACGACGAACTCGCACTGTTGGAGAGCATATGTGATTCCGTTACAACCCTGGCGTCGTTCTTTCTGGTTACGTACAGAATGAGGTCAACGACATCAACTTTCATGGACATGAAGAGGTCCATATCGTTGTCCATCTTGATGGTTTGAGGTCTAGTCGTCCCCTCATCTACCAGAAGCATCCATGATGGCCAACGGAAAGTCAGCTTTAGGCGGGTCTCCACGTCGGTGATGTTGTACTCCTGTTTTAGCAAAGTGGTGATCGTATCTATGCCATCTCCTTCATGGAGCCTCATGCTGCGTTGTCTCTCATTCGGATCTTCCTCAAACCTCCATTTTCCGATAGCATCACGTTCCTAGTGGCCAATCTGCGCCGCGACAACTCGCCGTTCTAACTCCCGTATCACAACCATCGTACCTGCAAAATTTGAATAACAGATTTTGTAAGTTACAAATGTCATTCATAGCAATATATGATAAATCAAATATAAGTAATGGTTTATAGTTAATCTTATCAAACCGAAGAGTAAAAGAAGAGCTCTGTTTTTTTGTGGGCTAAATCGATGAGTTAATGCAGAAGAAGAATGAATTTTTTCTGGTTTGGCGCGATATGGTTATGACGGTGGTGGCTACTTCTTTATATAGAAGGTCAATGCCAAGTTGTGTATCTCATAAGATATCGAGATAACGTCTCAAGTAGCAAGGTGTCATCATTACATATCATTAAATGCTTTACATTGTATGTGTCTTTAGCAATTGTGAAGAGCAACGCACGAAGCTCGATGGATGTCTTTTGTGCTACAGTATGTAAACGTATAACGTGATACGAAGTTATATATCAGGACAAAAAAGCATATATAAGCGCTAAGTGAAAGATATCGTGATAAGATATCTCGTAGCTGTGATTTATTGTCTTGCCATAATTAGTTTTGCATTTAATGCTACTACTGTAGCATGTTGGGGCAAAGCAAAATGCGAAACTCGATATGTCTGTAGGGTCCACCGCAATTTCGTGTATCGGATAAACACATATATATCACGACAAGTATCTCCGTTGCAACACAACTTCTCCATGCGCGCATTAAATAAGCGGTGGCCCACAAAATATAAGACTGATATCGCTGTCCCCTACAAAATTCTCGGAGGGAAAATTCCCGCTTTTTATTTGTGGTGCAATTTCGTCCGATTTTTACGAAACCAAAGTTTTCTCTCTCTTGTTTTGCAAAGACTGAAAAATGTACACCGAAATCCTAATTATTTCTTATAAATTAGCATATAGCTAATTGGCTATAATTCTTCTTCTTACATAATTAACATGATAGCAATTATATTAGAGCCAATCAGCTGTATGCTAAGTTTTGAAGAAATAATTAGGAATACGGTATACAATTTTCAGTCTTTACAAAACAAGAGAGAGAAAACTTTGGTTTCGTAAAAATCAGATGAAATTGCCCCTCAAATAAAAAGCGGGAATTTTCTCTCCGAGAATTTTGTAGAGGACAGCGATATCAGTCTTATATATTCTGTGGGCCACCACATATTTAATGCGCGCAGGGAGAAGTTGTGTTGCAACGGAGATACGTCTCGTGATATATATGTGTTTATCCGATACACGAAATCGCGGTAGATCATACAAACGTGGAGACCCGCCTAAAGCTGACTTTCCGTTGGCCATCGTGGATGCTTCTGGTAGATGAGGGGACGACTAGACCTCAAACCATCAAGATGGACAACGATATGGACCTCTTCATGTCCATGAAAGTTGATGTCGTTGACCTCATTCTGTACGTAACCAGAAAGAACGACGCCAGGGTTGTAACGGAATCACATACGCTCTCCAACAGTGCGAGTTCGTCGTCCCAGCCACAATGATACACGAAGATTACGTCATTGTTGACCTTGCATCTTCAGACTCTAATGTTGACTCTAGGGATAGCAGCAGACCCGACCCATGGAACGAGAGGCTTGATGGTTTGATGAGTAAGAAAATATCCAACCTAGAGGTTGGTTCCAGCTCTACAGTTCCTACCTACGCCAACGATGAGAACACTTTCTTTGACGTGGACTTATCCATGAGGGTATTTGGCAGGGACACAACTTCGGTTCTGGACAACAACATAGTTAGAGGTAATGACTTGGTTATATATATGT